GTGACGGCATGTGGAGGGGCACTAAGGGGGACAGGATGTGCTGGGACTAAGGGCAAGGTCAGGGGTGCTGGGGCAGGGTTCTTGGTCTGCCCCCTGCTCCCTGCCGCCACCTTTTCTCTCTGGTTATCACTTTCCTTCTCACACTCTCAGAACTTACAGTAAGACTTTCAGTTCCAGAAGGATGGGCAGACTGCCCTGTGAAAGCTGTCCCCAAGCTCTACCTCCCAGACCTCCATGGCCACGGCCAGTTCTCTTTAACAGTTTATTCAACAAGCGTTTATTGAGCACTTGCCATGTGCTTGGACATGAGGATATAGGATGCTCCCTTCCCTGTCCAGAGGAACACATGGTCTCAGGAGAGTGAGGACAGAGAGCGACATGATCAGACAGGTACAAAGTCACATGAGTGACTCAATCTAGCCAGGGGCTGGGATGGTGGACAGGGAGGCTTTCTGGAGTATAAGATGTCAACTATAAAGGAGGTAACTCTTTGTAAAGGAGCCCTGGTGGTACAATGGTTAAACACTTGACTGCTAACCAAAAGATCAGCAGTTCGAACCCACCAGCCACTCCACAGGAGAAAAGACCTGGTCATCTGCTCCCGTAAAGATTACAACTAAGGAAACCCTACGGGGCAGTTCTACTCTGTCATAGAGGGTCACTATGAGTCAGAATCATCTTGATGGCACACAACAACAGCAGCTGTTTATAACTACTCTCTTGCACGCTTACTACAAGCTAGACACTGGGATAAACCATTGAGAGGTACTTCTACCATGCCATTCTCAAACAACCCTGTGAGACAGAAACTGCTCATATCCCCATTTTACAGGTGAGGAAACAGAGGCATCAAGAGGGTAAGAACTTGCCTGAGGTCACAGTGCTAGATTGTAAGAAATGGCAGAGCTGGGATTCAAAACCCGGCAGTCTGCCCTTAACCACTCTACCAATGAAAGGGAAGAGGGAACAGGTGTTGGGGGCAGGAGGGTGGAGATGTGGAGGAAGCACCAGGAGGAAAGGCCCAAAGGGGAGATGATGTGTTGAAGCTGAGAGGAGAGGGGAAGGTACCGAGTGGCGAGGCTGGGGAGCAGGCAGGGTCCAGGCTACAAAGGTCTTGCAAAGCATTACCCTGGGCACTAAGGAGCTACGGACATGTTTTGTGCAAGGCAGTAACATTTTCATGTTTGTTCTAAAAAGATACTGTCCTTATAGAAGTGGTGATCAGACGGGGCCTAAATGGACAAAAATTAAATGTGATTTAATTTTGATGTCATTGAAGGGCATATAAAGAAATAACGAATCTGTAAAAAATCTTATGCAGAGCATGTGTCCCATTTTGAAATTCAGAAAATATGGCCTTGATGTATCTGTTCCTTACACTAGGCTTAAATATATGTTTGAAAAATACTTGGCTTGTGTTCCCCTAAGGCCCTCAGGTCTTTCCTTAGCAAGTTGGCGGAATGGAATAAAAGTCCCCAGAGAACAAAGTCAAGCTGCTGTCTGTCTTGGATTCCCTGTGGGCGGTGGCTCCTCTGACCCCAGCTTCCTGTCCTACCTACGTACCAGCCTGCGGGACTAGTCAGTCATAAGAAGGATAGAGGGGAGAGGGCCCAGCTCCCTTCCTCCCTGAATTGAGCTGAAGCCACAGTTCTCAGTACTCTCCCTTGCTTCCTCATCCAAACAGACTCAGCACTGCTCCATTCAGACTAATGCCCATGCTCCATCCCTGCCATCTCAACTCGGTTCAGGCCCTTGTCTTTACCCTTGGGGCTATTGCTCCAGCCTCCAAACTGGTTTCCTTGCCTCCAGCAGCCCACTGAGTCTTCTTAAACATGAATTTGATCATTTCTCTCATTGCTCTAAAACCTTCAATGGCTTCCTATTGCTCACAGAATAAAGTCCAGATTCCTTAGCCTGCCATTTCAGATGGCAAGTTGGTCCCCAGGTATTCATCCAGGCATGTTTTTCGCTGTTTCCCTACAAGTGCTCAGTGGAGGCTCCAGAGTTTCCACATAAAAGAGGCTGGGGGGTATTCTAGTTTGAAGGAGGCTTAAGGGGGATTTGTCCTGAAGTTGTCTTTATTAAGAAGGAACACCTGAGCATGACTGTGCTTTCCTGCTTTTCTGCATGTACATCTTAGCTTACGCTGTTCCCTCCACATAAGAATGCCCTCACCCCAGTCTTCATCTTACTCAAAGGACATGTTCACCCTAATCAGGTAACCAAAAGCACTTTTTCCTGCTCCGGAGCATTTGGCTGAACTTCCTTACAAAGTAGCTTATTCCAGTCCACCTTCCCTTAGAGCTAGGTTCGGGCCCCAGGCCTATGGCTGAATGGTGGGAAGACCTGGTGAGAGAAGTGTCAGAATGGACACCTGGTTGCTAATGGTGCTCCATGACCTTGAGTAAGTCACTTTTCCTCTACGGCCCTCAGTTTCCTCTCTGTAGAGCAGGAGGTGGGGACAGACACCCGAGCAGGGACGAAAGCATGAGCTAAGTTCCTCCCCACCACTCTAGGTCTAGGCAGACATTGGTCCTGTGAACAAGAACTTCTGGGGTCCTTTATTTTGCATTGGTTTGCATATATTTGCATATACACTGTAAGAGGTACCAACCATGCTTCATTCATAGAAAGAACTGAGGCTGTCTTCTAACTGCTGCCTAGGGATGGAAAAGACCCATGGCTTATGGTTCTACCCAAAACTGAGGCCATCAGAGGCTTCCAGCCCCCTCCTTTTACAGATGGGACAACTGTGGCTTAGAGAGGGAAAGTGATGAGCCCAAGGTCACACAGCAGCTGGGGAGCAGAAGGCTCCATCCCAGGCTTCCCATGGTCTCCCAGGGGCTTGCACTAGGGGCCCTCATTTCTGTCTGCCTACAGGGTGGATGAAGGTGTGAGGGGCTTGGTTTTCTTTTGAGGCCCTTCTCTGCACCCCAGAATAACAAAGCCGGGTGGCTTGACAGCCTCCGCAACCACCACAGGAAACCAAATTGTAGTAGAAAGGCAGATGGGAGTGGAAAATCCTCTCCGAGATCTTAGAGCGTTGCTTTCACCTGTTCTAAAAATAACCAGGCTTATTAGAGATTGATAGATGACAAGATAACCCACAAGTTATTCCACTGAGGCTGGGGAGAGGAGAGCGTAAGATTCTGCTTAAACAAAAGGAGACACCGGCCATGCTGCAGGAGATGGACAGAGTTGGCTGGACCCACTGAAATTCATATTCGGTGGTGTTGATAGAGGGCCATTTGTGGGGCAGGTCCCGGGCTAGACTGGAGGAACACAGCAGTGAGCAAGATAGATATGGACACTGCCTTCAAGAGATCCTATTCTCTGGAGGGGGGAAGACAACAAAAGTTAACAAATAAAACAATTGCAAATTGTGATGAGTGCTATGAGGGAAACAAGTAGTGCAGAGATAAAGACTAATAGGGAGACCTTCTTCAGCCAGGATGGGCAGGGAGGACCATTTAAGCTGAGACCTGAAGAGCAAGAAGGAGGCAGCCAAGCAAAGAATGGAGAGAAGGGCATCCTTGGGCAGATTACAAAGCCCTAAGGTGGGGTGGATCTTTGGCAGTTAAAGTGGGTGGGGAGGTGAAGGTGCAGGAGGAGGCTGGAGGGATGACTGGGCCAGATTGAGCAGGCTTTGAGGACCTATTTAGGCTTCTGGGTTTGAGTCCAGGTCTATGGAGGCCATTGAAGCAAGGCTTCCAGCAGTGGAATCATGGAGTGTGGTTTGCCTCTTAAGAAGCTCGATCCTGCTTGTTGTGTGGAACAAGGATTGGGGCGGGGGGCAGGGGCAAGCAGCAAGAAGACCACTTAGGCAGCAGATGTGGTGTCCAGGCAGGAGTGACAATGGCCTGATCCAAGGGACAGGGAAAGCGGAGAGAACTGGATGGATTCAAAATATGTCTTGGAGATCACCTTCACAAGGAGCTGCAGATGGATTGGATTGAGGTAGAGAGGAGGAAGGGGGGCCCTGCAGAGGTCTCCCAGGTTTCTGGCCTGAGCATCTGGGTGGGTGGTGGTGGCGTTTCCTGAGGTGGGTCAACCTACTATCAGGAGGGCCAGGTGCAGGAATTGGTTTGAGGGCATGTTAGGTCTGAGAAATCTGGGGACTGCCAAAGAGGCAGCTGCAGAGGCCCTAGCAGTCTTGTGCCATCTGACAAAAACAAACAGTTGGTTCTTCTATTATCAACCCAGTCTGAACAGTGAGCTCCAGGGGGCCAGGGACAGGTCGCCTTTGTTTTGTAGCCCCAGCACTTAAGATGGTGTCTAGCAAAAATTTAGTGGATGAATGAATGAAGCTGGACCACCAGCCAAATGAGTCGGCTTGCAGATGTGATAATTGAAAACAACCACAGTGCCCTGCACACGTTGTCAGTTGTTAGTTGCTGTCGAGTTGGCTCCAACTCATGGCGACCTTATGTGTAACAGAACAAAACGTTGCCCGGTCCTGCACCATCCTCCTGATTCTTGGGCCCTGCACATAGTAGGTACTTAATAAATATTTAAGGACTTCTGTGACTCCTCTTCTCTCACCCCGACAACCAAGCAGTCAATGATTCCTGCAGATTTGACCTTCTCAGTGTTTCCTAAATCAGTCTCCTATTCCATCCCTACTTTGTAGTTATAAGTTGCTGTCTGGTCAGCTCTGACTAATAGCGACCTTATGTATAATGAAACGTTGCCTGGTCCTGCACCATCTTCATAATTGTTGCCATGTTTTATCCCATTGTTGTGGCTTCTGTGTCAATCCATCTCACCAAAGGCCTCCCTCACCTTCGCTAATCCCCGACTTTACCAACAATGATGTACTTTTCTAGTGATTGGTCTTTCCTGATGACATGTCCAAAGTAAGCAAGGCAAAGTCTTGCCATCATTGCTTCTAAGGAATATTCTGGTTGTATTTCTTCTAAGATTAATTTGTTCGTTCTTCTGGCAGTCCATGGTATCTTTAATATTCTTAGCCAACACCACAATGCAAATGCATCAATTCTTCTGTCTTCCTTTTTCATTGTCCAGCTTTTGAATGCCTATGAAGTAATTGAAAAGACTCTGGCTTAGGTCAGGAGCACCTTAGTTATCAAAGTGACATCTTTGCTTTTTTTAAATATTTTTGTTGTTCTTATTGAGAATGTACATGGCACAACATATACCAATTCAACAATTTCTACATGTACAATTCAGCAACATCGATTATTTTCTTCAAGTTGTGTAACCATTCTCACAACCATTCTCTTTTTCAGAATTGTTCCTCCTCCATTAACATCAACTCACTGTCCCCTAAGTGTCCTATTTAAACTTTCAAGTTGCTGTTGTCAATTTGATCCTATATAGATAGTTCTTAAAACAGCATAATGCTCAAGACAGACATTTTTTACTAGTTATGCTAGACTGTTTTTTGGTTTAAAGAAGAGTTCAGGGGATATTTTTGGTTTAAGGTTTAAGATTAACTCAGGGGGATTCATCCAGTCTCAATGGCTCCAGAAAAGTCTCGATTTCATAAGAATTTGAAATTCTCTACCACATTTTCTCCCTTTGATCAGGATTCTTCTATGGAATCTTTGATTAAAATGTTCAATAATGGTAGCTGGGCATCATCCAGTTCTTCTGGTCTCATGGCAAAGGAGGCAGTAGTTCATGGAGGCAATTAGCCATGCATTCCATTTCCACCTCCTATTCCTGACTCTCCTCCTTTGTCTCTTGACAGCGTTGCTTTTTAAAACTTTAAAGAGATTTTTTACAGTAGATTTGCCCAGTGCAATACCTTGATTGATTTCTTGATTGCTGCTTCCATGGACTGTGATTGTTAATCCAATTAGAATGAAATAATGGAAAACCATCCCTACTACCAATATACTAATTCAGACCCTCAGCATTTAACTATTGTATATTTATAGTGCAGGACAGGGCAGAATTTCATTTTGTTGTACATGGGTTTGCCATGAACTGGGGACTAACTCAATGGCAGCTAACAACAATAGCTGTCTTTAACTGAGTACTAGGCACTGGGGTAGGCCCTTGTAATGTAGCTTCAGAAATCGCCGATCATCAGTGGGGATAAGAAACACCAGGATCAGCACAAAGCTGGTTCCTATGAGGTGGAGGTCAGGCATACCTCTATTCTCCAGCTTTTTCACCATTTCTGACACCAGCCATCCTCCCCTCAGAACTCTCTACTTCTCTACTGGGTCTGACAATTCGTTGCAATGGCCACACAGAACTCACAGACCATACTCACAGTGATGAGGTTTATTAGGAAAGTAACAGCCCTCAACTCTGGAGACAGGATCAGCTTCGTCAATCAGGACAGCCTTCAACGAGGACAGCTCTCAACTCTTCAGCTGTGCCAGCCAACAGCCCTTCTCAGCCTCTGCCACTGGGCTCCTCTAGGCCTCTGCCCTGCTCAGGCAAGTGTTACAATTCTTTTGGCTCCGCAGACAAGTGCCCGGAGGCAACCCACTCTGTCAGCAAGCCTCCTGTCCCAGGGCGCTCAGGTGTGTCTCTTTCTGTGGGCCAGCAAGCACCACTGCAGCAGTCTGCTGGTCCCGTGATTCCTGCCGCTCATACTGCTGCCACCGTCTCGGTGCCATCTTCAGTGTTACAGCTCTTTTAGGAGGTTCCCTTCTTTTCTTTCTCGCTCTCTGTGCCTCTCTCCCTACCTCTGTTGGATTGGCTGCTTATATACGCAAGCTCCTTACCAATTTCAAAGCATGGTCCTCCCAGCCAGGCCACAAACCAACGAATCTCTGCAAGGTCACTTAACCCTTATTGGTTGGTTTCATGCACCCTATTTGCGTAGTAAATTGACCAATCTTTGCAAGGTGCATAAAATAGACCAATCACAGGGTCTGCAGCCTAACCAATTATTTTTGGCAGAATTATAAACCTAAGGCCGGAAAGGCCATATATAAAGAGAAACCCACTCTGCTGCAGTCCTTTATGGGTATTATTCACATTTAACCCTCAAAAAAACACACAGAGGCAGGAAAACTTACCCCTTTTTACTGCCCCGGACACTATTACAACAGCCCTCTGTGTGACTTGCCTATGGCCACACAGCCAATAAATGACAGAGCCAGGATATGAACCTAGGCAGGCTGGCTCTTGGCTGGTACAGTCGTACCTTTCAACCAGTTGTGTGATGCATGTCTGTTTGCTTGTCTGTGTCACTCAAGAACAAGAACCAAGTCTTGTTGCTCCTTACCCCCAATACCTGGCATGGCGGCTGGCACGCAGTTCTGTAGGTGTTCAATCAGGCCTCCCTTTACAGAGCCAGGTTGTCACCTTCCTGCTTTGAATAGAAGGAAAGCCTGAAAGGAGAAAATTCTTTTCATTATATAGCATTTTGCAATCATCTATCTTACATGATCACATTCATATTCACAACAATCCCAGTGGGCAGGGATTATTAAACCCACCTGTCAAATGAGGGAATGGAGGCCCAGAGAGGCTGAAAAACTTGCGTAAAGTCACCCGGCTAATAGTTGGTGGAGATAGTACATAAACCCAGGTCTCCTGACTTGAAGCCCGGCACTCATTCCACGCATCATAAACCTGGCCAGGGAAGATGTTGCTGAATTCAAACCTGGTGCAAGAAACTGGAGTCCAGCCTTGTCAGGGGTCATTAATCACTCCCTCCCCCAGCATGGCTGAGCTCTGGGGCAGAGGCCTGCTTCCCGTCCTCCCAGCCCTCAGTGTAACACCTCTTCAGGGCAGAAAACTCTTCCCTGTTGCAAAGTTCTAGCCCTCCCCTCCCCAGCCTTTCCTCAGGCTACTCCTCCCCAGCCCCCTCTGAGGGTCCTGGTAAAAGCATCCGCTTGTCAGTGTAAATCTGCAGGGTTCAGACCAGCAGCTGGAGATGGATGGGCAGGAAGCCGTAACAATGGATGAAAGACCCTCTGTGCCCAGGTGGATGGGGGAGGGAGAGGCAGGAAACAGAGAAGCCGCCTGCCTATGGGGCTAGGAGCCGCCGGCCGGCGGGAGGCCTGGGATGCCAGAACCCGTGGGGTTTATTTGGATTCCCAATGGATCCAAGCTGGGGAGCAAACATCTGACCAGCTCATCTCCACGGGGCGCCAGGCCTAGGACGTGTGTGACAAGAATGTTGCTGTCATTCATCACTGTTTGTCCCCAGGGCCTAGCAGAGAGCTGGCTACACAGTAGGGGCTCATGATAAAGATTTGTTGAATGAAGAAATTAACCTGGCACTACTATTAACTGAAGAATTACAGTTTTAAATCGATTTGCTTAAAAAAAATTAAAGATTCATAGTTTTCCCTTTCCCCCTCAGAGCTTTTGCATATGCTGTTCTTTCTGCCTGGCATGCTTTTTCCTCTGCTTTTGGCAAGGCCAGCTCCTCACCCTCTAGTCACAGCTTAAACAAAGCTCCTCAATGAGCTTTGGGGGACTGCTCTGACTGCCCCAGCCAAGGTAACCCCCATTTCCTTGCCCCGCTAGCCCACTACATATTGATTTCCTTCAAGGCACTTTTCATGATCAGAAATCCTCTTTTAACTTTGTGCCCTGTGGGGTTTAATTTTAAAAGAAGTTAAGAAATGCTTAAGTTTATAATGTATAAACCCATTTAGTTCATTGCAAGGTAGTCATGGCAAGGCACACAGGTAAAACCACAAGACATTTAATTATGACAAGAGAATCAGAGTTAACAATTACAATGTTAGTTCAATGGTTAGAGTCTGACTCTTTAGACTTCAGACTTTTACCTTTAAAGAGAGGTCTCAAAGTGCAAGCTTAACCAGTGGTATGTCCTTGACAGAGGTCCCTCCGTGCTAGGGTTTGAGGTCGACAGTGAGGCAAGGCTATCTCAGGCAGAGCCTCCAGCAGCACTGGGTCTTTGGAGAGTTCAAGAGACAGATCAATGTGGAAACGAGTTGCCTCTGACTTGCTCTCAGTGAAAGGACGAAAGCCTGGGGTTTTATGTGATTTAGTCCCTCTGGTCCTGCTTGATAAGCGTCTATCAAGGCAGCTTACATCATAGGTCCATAATCAGGGGCACACATTTGAGGTGTTTTAACTTAGATAAACTAAAGGCTATGTCACAACTTATCAGAGCAAAGCAGTTGTCTTACACTGAAGTTGTTGTTGTCAGGTACCATCCTGTCAATTCCAACTCAAAGTGACCCCATGTGACAGAGTAGAACTGTCTCATAGGGTTTCCTAGGCTGTAATCTTTACGGAAGTAGATCACCAGGCATTTCTCTCACAGAGCTGCTAGGTAGGTTTGAACCACCAACATTTTGGTTAGCTGCTGGGTGCTTAACCCTTGCGCCACTAGGGCTCCTTTACACTGAAGTAACTGGCTATGATATTAGAACCTGGAACAGAGAAGTTAACTTGTCTGTTTTAAAACTTAACCTAAACGTTTAAGTCACACATTGCATGTTTCACATACATGTGATCTGAGATCATTACGTTATAAGCATATATAACACTTTGTCATTTCCTGTCTCTCCCACCAGAATGGAAGCTCCAAAAGGCTGTGGATCATATCTTCTTATTTTTGTTGTATCCTCAGAGCCAGGTATTTAGAAGATGCTCCATAAATAGTTGTCAAATGGAAAAGGAGATGAACAAATGAATCCCTGTAATAATGTCACTCACATCCTGTGCTCCACAATCTGCTTCCTTGAAGAGAACAAAGGGGAGTCTTGCTTTTGCCCTGCCTATTGCAGCTCTTGAGTAAAGCACAGCCCACAGTGAGCGGCTATTTCCCAGGTCAATAATTGTGACTATTGCAAATCATCTCGGGGCTCTGCTTCCCTACAACAATTTCTGGCTGCTACAAGGCAGCTGCCTTAAACCCAGCAGCACAGATCCATGAGGAAATCAGCAAGCGACGTCTTTTGACCCCTCTACTGTCTACACCAGCAATATCAGGAACCATTAAGAACTTCTTGCAGCCAGATAGACCTGGGATCTGATCCCACTATGTCTCAAGCTCAACAGTGACCTTACGCAAGTGATTTAACATCTCTGAGCTTCAGTTCCCTCATCTGTAAAATGGGGATAATAGTAGTACCTGCTCATGGGATGCTGTGAGAATTCGATGAAATAAGCTGCACAGCTCTAGACATACAGCAGGCACTTAAGAAACAGTAAACCAAAAGCTGGCTTCTCTGTAGGACAGGAACTGTAACTCAGCCACAAGGCTTAGCTTGGTCACAAATAGGGCTGCCACAGGTGAAATCCTTGGTCTGACTTTCCAAGTTGAATTTATTTAACTCCCCTTCCTCTCTGCTCAGCCCCGGGCTTGGACCTGCATGGTTTTCTCTGGCTTGAATCTGGAAGCTCCCTACTGCCTCTTAGCCTGCTGAATCCAGTTCTAGCTGTTTATAGCCCAAGATTCCAGGGACAGAACCTTCCAAGCTTCAATCCCCCAGAGCCAGCCCAAACTAGACTTCTCCACACCTGGCTTCTCCAGCCTGGCCCTCCAGTCCGTGCTGCCACGTGAGGGCTCTAAAACCATCTGAAGGGGTCACTCCCCTGCTCAACAACCTTTGAAGTCTCCCCATCACCTTTTGGATCAAGTCCAAACTTCTGAACTTGACATTCAGAGCCCTGTACCATCTGACTCCAGCCTCAGCTCTGCGCCCCCACCTCACACCCTGAACGTTCCAGCCCCGGCACACCTCCTTGCTGTTGCACACGCTGTGCCCCCACTTCTGGACCTGGTACGCTCATCTTTTAAAGCTTAGCTCGGATAGCAGCTTTTCTGTGACTCCTTCCCTGATGAGTCTCTTGCCGCCTCCAGGAGGAGGAATTAGCTGCTCTGTCCTTCAAGCTTTCACTGTACTTTGTACCCAACTCTGAGACAGCACCCGGCACATTGCATTGGAATGAAGTGTTTATATGCCTGGCCTCCCATCTCAACTGGCACCCCATCACCCCATCCCCTTATCCTGACTTATATTTCTTCAGAGCAATTTCAACTACCTGATACTCTCTTATATATTCTATTCATGTATTTATGGTCTGCCCTCCCCCGCTCCCCACAACACTAGAATGTAAACCCTGTAAGGGCAGGGACTTTGTTTTGATCACCTTTTTTTGGTATCTCTGGTGTCTTAGAACACAGCCCGGCACCATAGGGGCTGCTCGAGAAATATTTGTTGAGTGAGTGAATGAATGAATGAATGTCATTAGGTGGGAGCAAGGTGGTCAGAGCTGTTTTAAGAGACTCCGTTAGAACCAGGGTGCAAGATGGCTTGGAGGGAGGCGAGGTGGGGACTTGGAGATGGGATGGGAGGGCAATGTCCAGGTGAGAAGTTTCCTTATGAGAGGCCCCAGGTATAGTGGAAAAGGCCTGGGGTCAGGAGAACCAAGTTCAAGTTTTGGCTTCTGTACTTCACAGCTGAGTGCACCTAGACAAATGCCTTTGCCTCTCTGGGCCTGTTTCTGTATCATTAAAATGCAGAGTGTATAAATAATGCCTACTTCACAGAATGCCGTGAGGACAGACAGGGATGACAGGTGCATTAGGGCCATATGGGGGCAGCTTGGGGGGCGAGCAGTGAGTAAGCATCGATCTGGGAGCTGGTCAGATGTGGGTTCAACTGCCAGCTCCTGATGGCTAGCATGTGCTTTCAGCACATCACATCCTTCTTGCCTGCAAAGGCCTCATGCTCACCCCTATGGCTCATAGTGGCATGGGTCAGAGCATGCCCCAGGGTCTACGAAGAGACTTAAGGCACAGCTGGGATGCCCCAGGATCATCTGCATTCTTTTTCTTACTAAGGAGTCAGCTCGAAGCCTGGCCAAGGCAGTCTGCCTCAGGGTCAAAGGAGGCTGAGCTGGAAGGATCCTTGGGCCATTGGATTCAAGGCCAAGCCAGAGAGGCTGAAGGACTTGTCCAAGGTCACTCAGCCAGTTGGCTTCGAAGTCAGTTCCAGAGCCCAGGTCTCCTCATTCCCAGCCCGGACTCTCCACTCCACCCTGGTCATGTGGCTGATCCTTGTTGATCAGCTACATTTCTGTTCCTCCACCTTGTTTATTACAGCAGCTTCCATCTGCCAGGCACTGTGCTAGGGACTTTACTCACTATGCCTCATTTAATCCTCACAGAAGCCTCTGCAGTCATCACCTCTGTTTACAAATAAATAAACTGAGACTTAGAGAGGGTGAATGATTTGTCCAACGTCACACAGCAAAGAAAGGAGCCCTGGTCGCTCAATGGTTAAGTGCTCAGCTGCAACTAAAAGGTTGACAGTTTGAACCCACCAGCAGCTCTGTGGGAGAAAAGACCTGGCCATCTGCTCCCATAAAGATTACAGCTTAGGAAACCCTATGCGGCAGTTCTACTCTGTCATATAGGGTCACTATGAGTCCGAATCGACTCAACGGCACACAACAAGCAACAACAACACAGCAAAGTAAAGGCAGGACCAAGATTCAAGTTCATGTCTTCCTGTCTCTGAAGCCTGTACCCACTGTGGCCTCTTGCCACAATTACCACTGTTCAGTCTCCCATGCTCCTATCTTGGATGGAGTCAGTCATTCAGTCATTTGGCAAACATGTATGGAGCTCAGTGCCAGGCATGGGAGAGCAAAAATGAGTAAAACTCAGCCCCGACCCAAGAGGAACTCACCATCCAGGCAAGAGCAGACATGGTCATTAATACTTATAATCATAGAGGTAGTATAAGGCACAGTAGACAGTTTTCTAAGGTTGTCTCATTTATATTGCACACTGGTTCCTGAAAAGGTACGTATTATTATCCCCATTTCACTCAGTAGCAAACTGAGGCTCAGAGAGGCAAATTCACTTGTCCAAGGTCACGTAAACCCCGTATGTCTGCCTCCAGAGCCCGTGCTGTGTCCACGTGAGTGCCCTGCACACAGCACATCCTGTTTCTCCAAAGTCCTGTACAAACGTTGGTTCATTCATTCAGTGCATATTTATTGCATCCCTACCATGTGCCAAATGGAGTCCCTGAGTGGTGCAAATAGTTAAGCCCTGGACTACTAGCCAAAAGTTTGGCGGTTCGAACTCACCAGTGGTGCCTCTGAAGACAGGCCTGGCAATTTGTTTGTGGAAGGTCACAGCCTTGACAACCTTATGGAGCAGTTCTACTCTGCAGACACGGGGTTGCTATGTATCAGAATCGACTCAATGGCAGCTAACAGCAGCAACAATCGTGTGCCAAGATCTGTCCTGGGTGTACCGAGAGGGAGATGAACAGGACATGGTCCCTGCTTCCACCTTCAGCCAGTGAAGAGGTGGATCTGGGGTGTCTAGCTGCTCTGTTCCTTTATCCTCTCAGTGACACTCATGGGGGACCCTTTGGTGCTGGACCAGCCTTCCCCCCACCAAAGTGTCCATAGGGCTGCCGGGAAATGTCAAGGGAGGGAGGCTGTGACCGCCCCAGGCCCCCAGGGCTGCCTTGTCCTCTCAGCCAGGCTCTGACTCACCACCCACACCTGGCGCTGGCCTCAGGCAGCCATGCTGGAAATAGACCCGGGCAGAGAGCAGGAGTGGGGCGGGCAGGGCAGGGAGGGAGGGTCAGGAGGTGGCACCTGCACGCGTGGCTGCCGTTCCCATCCTCCCTGCCAAGAAACAGAGAAATGCCACGAAATGGAGCCTGCCTGAAATAACTGGGCTTGGGAATGCTCATGGAGGCTGAAGCCCCCACCTCCCTGGGAGCTGTCCCAGGAGCAATGAGAATTACAAGACAAATAATAATGCTGCCTCGCTGCCCACAGAGCTTGCCAGTTATTGAGCACTTGCTGTGGGCCAGCCACAGGTCTAAGTAAGTGCTTTGCATGTCTTGATTATCTCATCTCGAAGCTCCCCAGGAGGTCATGCTGTGATTAAGCCCATTTTACAGATGAGGAACTTGAGACTCAGAGAAGCCAAGTAACTTACCTAAGACCCATTCATTCCAAGTTCCCCACCCAATCCCCATTCAAA